AAAGAGAGAAAGGTTGTCATGGTGACATAGTGATGGGCCGGGTTCAGGGGCAGAAGGCCGAGGAAACCTTCCCCTCGTTATCAGATGCTCTCCGCTGGGCCTCAGACCTAGGGCAGCGTGGCTTTCTTGCAGGTACCCTCCTGGTCTGTCACCTAAGGGCCTCCAGATGCCGCAGGAAACCCCAGATTTGGGGAGCACTTAGCCATACGGGTGCTCTCTGCGTGGTAGGCCCCTGGAAACTCCCACAGACCCAGGAGGTCTGTAGTCTTTGCCACAGACCCAGGAGGCCCCTCGATGAGCCCCGAGAAGCCGCACTAAGGCACTTGGGGAAGCAGGGGGAGGCAGGCCGAGACAGGGGCTCAGGTGACCATTCGGGAGGTTAGGGAGCTTGCTATACTCTTTCCTAACTGTATCCTGCTCCCCTCCCGCCCCAGCTCTACACACACCATTCCCGCCTGGAGTGCCTTCCTTTCCCCTCGTCGCCAGCTGTCCTCTTCCCTTTGTTTCTGTGTGGATGGCACAGCCTCCAGCACGCCCTCTATCCTCTCCCAAGGCTGGGGCAGATGTCGCCTCTGCGTTCCTGCCCCCATCCTCGTTTCCCCAGAAAGTACTCATCCCGGGGTGTTCTGGCCGCCTGGTGCTCTGGCTGTCTCTCACTTTATAAAGAAGATGAGCCCAGGGACCATCTGTCTTGCTCTCGCCCCGGGACCTGGCCCAGAGCAGGGCCCTCACTGAAGGTTTAAACGCATGTTGGTGAGTGGGGGCAGGGAGAGCAGAAGTTGGGATTTTCTAAAGAAAATTCCATCGCTGGAAACGTACAGACACTCAGATGTGGAATTCAAGCTTCTTGGTTTTGATTCTCGATGGGGGAGGAGGAGAGAAAAATCTTACAGCATCCCTCTGCAGCCGCGCTCCACCTGGCTGTTCTGGAGTCATGGGGTAGAGGCCGGGGTGGGGGAAAGAGGGAGTTAGGGCAACACACGCTTGTCCTTGGCTAAGTGTCAAGTTCAGAGGGAAGAGTAGTCACGGAGAAGCAGTTAGAAGGTCAGGGGAGTCTGTGACACCTGCTAGCGCACCCCACTGCCTCTGGTGTAAATTCTATACAACTATACAACTAGGGGTTAAATTTCTTCACTGGCTGCCTCCCAGGGCCATTTCTAGGGGAAATGTGCCTTCCTGCAAAGTCTTTCCCTGGCCACCTTTCACTGCTCACTCTTTGGAATGTTTGATACTTGTGACTTGTCCGATCTCTTGAAATGCAAGCCAGCATCTTGCCCACAGAAAGAGCTGGGGCGGGCAGACCCAATGGTCAGAAATTCCCTTCCCTCTGCGAAGGACCTCCATTGGTCAGTTTGGGTTCTAGAAGGAAGCAAATGCAGAATCCAGTTCAGGCACTCAGATATGTAAACAGGAGGTTCTTCTCGGGGCATAGCCCACCCCAAGGAATTTCCCAACATGCACAGCACTTGGCAGAGAGCATTAGATGAGTGACACCTGGATGCACAGGCTGGGATGAGAGCCATGAAAGGCGATGGCCGCGGCCAGGATCTGAGGGCACATCAGTGATAACAGAGAGACTAAATGAGATCATCCCGCGGTACCTCCCAGCTGCACGGAGGGCGCCGCCCCGAGCTCGCTCTTTCCCACGGGGCCCAGGAGAGGGTTTGCCTGCATCAGTTTTACGGAAGACTCCACCCCTCTAGGGGCCGGGGATGTTGGATGTTGGCCATCACATCTTCTCCTGGTCGAGGTGGCAGGCTGGTGGGGAGGACAGAGGGCGAGACCGTCATCAGCGATTCAGGAAGAAGGACTTGAGGCTCTGGAAGAAAACTGACTTCTGTCTCTGCTTCTGTTTCTTTTTGATGATGGGCACCCACACCAGCCCGCATACCAGCATCATGAGTCCCAGAGACAGGAAGGCGGGCCCTATCATCTTGAGGACCTTGAGGCTCTTGTCACCCAGGTTCAGAGTGTAGGCCAAGCAGGTGATGACCACACCGAATAGGAGGATTGCACCGCCCACAGACATGATGACGATGGGCTTGCGGTAGATTTCCCAGTTACTCCGGGGGGTGGTGGTCCACACAGACTCACTTCTGCAGCTGATGCACAGGGAGCTGGTGGTCTGGCTGGGCAGCAGGTCCTTGGATTCTGGAGACTTCTCGTTGACCTCCGGGTCCTTGGGGAGAGCCTCCATGGTCACGGCTCCCGGGACCGGGCACCTGGTACCAGCACCGGCTAGAAGCAAGGACGAGGCCGGAGGAATCCTCGCACAGCCTTCCTGTTCTCGGCATCTGTCTCCAGCCTGCCTCTTAGTGGAGGGCAGTACAGGGTTTTTGTGCTGAAGCTAAAAGAAAAGCAGATGAGATCCACGTAAATAAGAAGCCACTCAAGGTGGTATCGTTTTCCTTGTGAGAGATAAATATTATATCACTGTAGTCAACCATTCTTATTATTTAAAGCAGGGAACAGTGGTGGCCTTTAAGAAAACAGGCAAAAGCTACAATTTATGAAATGGCATCTTATTTTCAGACCCAGCCGCTTTCTTGCTGTGTGACCTTGAATGAGTTACGGCCTTGGTCCTTGGCTTCCCCTCCAGTCCCTCCTCCCGGGGCCCCAGGTTCTTCCTCTTCTTTCCGGTCTGGCCACCTCAGGCCCCACTCACACAGCATTTACTACGACCCCTCTTCGGGAGCGGGATGGGAGGGATTTCTTTCCACAGCAGCAAGTTTCCTGGGAGGGTGGGCTACTCAATCCCAGTCACAGTGGGTTCCGCCTCCCCACCCCGGACGGGGTGAGAGGTGGGAGGGGTTGCATTCGGAAACCAGGGTATCAGGATAAAGGAGCTGGTGTGTGAAGCTGGTGGCTCCCAAGCCCAGCACTCGAACCTGCTGCTTCCCCTCTATCAAGACACCTCTAAATGTGGAAGGGTCCTGTAGTGAACGCGCTCTCCTTCCACACTTCCTGTAATGCTCAGTTCCAAGCAATTTCCTCAACTCCCCCCGCCCCCCACCTCACCCCTCACAGCAGCTCAGGCCTGGACCACTGGGCCAGTGCTCCCACTTTGCCGAGCAAGACCCCCTTCCCTGCATCCCAGGGGGAATAGGAATTGTAGAATCACCACGCCTTCAGAATGTGGATTTTTACATTCGTGTGTGCCCCTCTAGAGAGAGGATATTGGGATCTCTGCTTCCGAAGACTTTGGAAAATACCATGACGGGCTTTTATAAGTACGGGCTCACAGGTGTCCCGCTGCTGCCCTGTGGGTCCCGAGGAGTATTTGCGTAAGTGGCGTCAACACTTTTAAAGTGATCTCTCCCTTTCGCCTGCAGGCTCGGTGGGGAGAGGAGGGCTTGTGAGGCGTGTGGTGAAATCCTAGCCGGGGAGCTGGCGTTGGTTACTGCAACCTGGTTTCTCCTGTGGGGTTTTGACGTCTTTGGTAGGATGATCTCTCCAGGTGGCCCTTTCCCCCACTTGGCAGCAAATCCCAGGGCAGAAGCGCCTGCTGCCTTCAGATGTTCGGGGTGTTGTGTTGGAGGAGTGTTAATGGGAAGGCACGAGTCTCAGTTGTGCCCGAGGATCACCGGGCTGGGTGGGGAAGGACCAGCTCCCGGGAGAGCTGCCACTGGGGTGCGAGGCAGCCATGGCAGGCGCAGGGAGGATGGCTTCCTGGATGCTGAGTGAGAGGTGCGGCCAACTGCGCCCTGCTGGCCGCACCTAGCACATGCTCTTTGGCCCTGCCAGGAGGTCGCTCGTTTATTCCCCTCTTAGGAGGGCAGAGGCTGAGGCCCAGTGAGATTTAGGATCGTGGCCCAGGCCTCCCCCCAACTTCATAGGTGGCTGTGTTGGGATCCAGGCCAAGGTCTTTGGACTCAAAGCTCATTGTACTAGACCGAGCTGGTCAGGATGCTCCCTGAGGGTCCTTCTACTATGACAAGGCCTGAGTTTTTCACTTTCGGGCTGCATCCTGCAGTAGAGTAACCTCTCACTGAGTAAGGACTGACAGAGACAAGTAGTTGTATAGGGAGTCACTCTACAACGGAGAGATAACACTGATGTTAAGTTTTTCATGATGGTACATTTATTTATTGAAAGAATTATTTTTACTCTGAGATTATGTCCTTCCTTCTTTTCTTTTGGCACTGGAGTATTCATTTTATGAAACGACTGTGAGGGAAGATGATCATTGGTTTTGCTGGTATCTATACTGGCCAAGATCAGAAGTCAGTCATCCTGTGCAGATGTCTGTCTACTTTATCTGTCACCTATCTATCATCTATCATCTATCTATCTATCTATCTATCTATCTATCTATCTATCTATCTATCTATGTAAATTGTAATACCTCACGAAATCCCGAAGAATGGGAACCTTGCATTTAGTGGACTTACTTAGGAAGAGGAAGGGTCCTTGTGATAGTGAATGGTCGGTGGGTTCATCTTCCGGGCAGTGACTGGAGAAGAGCCCTTTTCCTCCCTTGAACAAGGCTGAGCTCCGTGCCTTCTCCCCCCACCCCCGGCCCTACCAGGCAGGAGGTGGCAGCGACTCTAAACACAAGTGGCAGGCGGGGTGGGCTGTGGAGTGAACGCCGCGCTGGGCTCCTTCACGGTTGCAGCACGTCACTGAGCTTACTTGCAGGGTCTGGTGTGACAGAAAGATCCAGGTCTCTGACACCAGAGGGACCGCTGTCTGAGACTCACTAGTCACATATATAGAATAAGGATAACAGCATATCTGCCTCATAGGGCAGCGGCGACTGTCAGGTTTCACAAGACCCCACTTTATTGTGTGATACGTTACAGGAGTTTAAGACATGGCCCTGGTTGCTATTATTATTGCAATAGTTATTTTCTTTCTCGGTCCCTTTTTTCTCATCTGTACAATGAAGAAGTCAGGCTGAGGGACTTCTAAAACTATTTTGGATGTAGGTCCATAGGTGGTGAATCAAACTCAAACTCTGAGAACCCAGGTTTTCTGAAAATCACCATCTCAGGGGCACTAAGAGTTTTATAACATTTTATTAAAGTCCTAAAAGATCCGATTTCTTTTTCTGATACCAGGGTTTCTCAACAGTGGCACTATTGACGTTTGGGAGCCAATAAGTATTTGCTGCAGGGGCTGTTCTGAGCATTGTGGGATATTTAGTAATATCCCTGGCCTCTACCCACTAGATGCCAGTAGCAAACCCCTCCAGTCATGATAGTCAAAAATGTCTCTGGACCTTGCCAAGTGTCTCCTGGGGGTAGAATCAATCTGGTGGAGAACCTCTGCTCCTAGTTTGCAGACTGCCTCAGGGCCTCTGCTGGTTTATATGCCTCCTCCACCCGGCAGCCCCCCTCCACCGGCACTCAGCGGGTGCTCAAAGGACTTGGGCCTGATGCTGCAGTCCTGTGGGGTGGGGAGCACGTAACCCTGGGGAGCTGGTTCAGTGAGATGAAGCACACTTCCAGGTCCTCAGTTCCTGCGGGTTTGGTTTGTCTGTCTCAGAGGATCCCTCACTTCCCGCAGTGGGTGGACTTGTCCACTCAGACCCTCAGAAAGTAACCTTCTTTGGAATAAGAGTCTTTGCAGCTGTAATTAAGGGAAGGATCTCCAGGTGAGCTCATCCTCAAACAGACAAGTCCAAGAACCTGCGTCCTTGTAGAGAAAGGAGAGGAAATGTGACACACAGAGGGGAGGGAGGCCACGTGAAGATGGAGGCCAATGGTGAAGTGATGCCCCTACAGGACAAGGGTGCACGGCGGGAGAGAGGATGGGACGGACTCTCCTCAGAGCCTCTGGAAGGAGCAACTCAGAGGACACCTTGAGTCTTTCCCTTGTGACAGAACAAACTTCCATTGTTTTCAGTGGCTACATTTGTGGTACTTTGTTATGGAAACCCTAAAAAAAGGAACACACTCACTGTCGGTTAATGTCCCCACACCTCAGAGGTGGCCGAGGACCGAGGGCCCGAGGGGCTGAGCTGAGAAGGGAGATTGGGTCCTTCTCCCCCCACCCCCCCGGAGGCCGCGGCTGGGGTGTCAGGAAGCAGAGGTAGTGGGTAGAGACGTATTTGTAGCACAGAACTAGCGACGGACAGGCCACAGGCTAGCACGGTGAGGGAGCACTTGTCTGGGGCTACACAGCACGCGGAGGAAAGAATGAACCGCACGCCTGTCCATGCAGGACCCCAAACATTGACGCTGAGCAAGAGAGGCCAGACACCTCTTCCATTTACAGAAGGTTCAAAAACATGTAAGACCATCTATGCCATTAGAGGTTAGGACAGTGGTTACCTTCAGTGGGGATGGTGGCTGGAAGGGGGACGTGATGGAGACTTTTGGGGTGCCATTGTGCTCTGACTCTCGATCTGGCTACAGCCAATCACATGGGTGTGTACCGTTTGAGCTGTATACCGTGACATGACCGCTGAAGAAAATTTTAAAATACAACTAAATGCAATACGTTCATTATTTGGATTCTGACTAGAAGAAACCAATTGTACATTTCGAGATAACTTTAGGGAAGTTTGAATCTGGATTGGATATTAGACAACGCTAAGGATTTACAATTTGTATTCAGTATGATGACGATATTGTGGACACAGAAGAAAGCATCTTTATAGATATGGAAGATACATCTTGAAACCACGTACAGAGACGAATTGTCATGATGCCGTGATTCACGTGGAAGCACCAAACTCCAGCTCAAATATGACAAAATGTTAAAGGTTATAAAATCTGGGTGACGGATACGTGGAAGTTCATTATATTATGATCTCTACTTTCACGTATGTTTGCAAATGTTTGTAATAGATGAGGCACTGAATATACAGATGGACGGTGACCAGACATGTATAAGAACAGAACTCTGATCTACAACCTGCAGCAACCAGCCCAAGAAGCCACCGCATTATCTACAGTAACTGGCACAGGGACCCAGACTATATAATCTGTAAGTAAGACTTTCAAGAAGTCAGACCGCCTTCCCTAGTAACCAGCCCCACAGGCCAAACAGTAACTGAGGACAGCTGCTTTTTGACAAATACACCAAAACAGTTGCATGGGGAAAAGAAAGTCATTTCAACAGATGGTGCTGGAATAACTGAATATTTATATGGAAAAAAATGAAACTTGTCTTCACCTCATACCATCAACAAAAAATGAATTCGAGATGGATCATGGACATAACCTGAACATAAAAGCTAAAACCATAAAGTTTTAGGACAAAATATAGGAGAATATCTTTGTGACCTGGAGGTTGGCAAAATTTCTTAGGACAGAGAAGGCAGTAACCGAGGAAGAAAAAGAAAATCAATAAATTAGATTTCATCATAATTTAAAACTCCTGCCTCATTAAAAGCTACTGGGAAGAAAATGAATAGGCAAGCTGTGGACTGGGAGAAAATTTTAGCAAAATACATATTTGTCAAAAGATTTGCATCTGAAATACATGTGATTAATAACACAAACAGCCCAATTTTAAAAATGGGCAATTGATTTGGACGGACCCTTTACAAAGGAAGACAGATAGATGAAGAAGAAAGCCATGAAAAAGGGCTTGAGATTGACATTCGACAGGAAATACAAAGTAAAACCACAAGGAGATACAGCCGGACACTCACTAGAATGGCTAAAATTTAAACACCTCACAATACAAGTGTTGGTGAGAGTGGGGAAACAACTGGAGCTCTTGTGTCCGCTGGCAGGAACGTAATATGGCGCAGCCGCTTTGGAGCAAAAGGTCCGGTAGTTTCTTACAAGGTGAAACATACACCTTCCCTTTGAACCAGCAGTTCCACTCCTAGATATTTCTTTGTCCAAGATAAATGAAAACCTATGTCCACCAAAGACTTGTTTATGAATATTCATAGCAGCTTTGTTCATAATAGCCCAAACCACAAAACAACCCAATGTCCATGAACAGGAGAAAAGGTAAACACATCTTGTATATTCACACAGTGGGATACTACTAAACAATAAAAAGGAACAGACTTCTGATGCACACACAGCATGGATGAGTCTCATGGACATGATGGGTGAAGGAAGTCAGATATAACTGAGAACATATAGTGTATGTTTCCATTTATATGACATTCTAGAACCTTCTAGGAACTAAGCTAAGGTGACACATCTCAAAACAGTGGTTGTAGGGGTGGGGAGGAACTAACTGGGACCTTCTGGGGTCGATGGAAATGTTCTATCTCTTGATATCGGTGTGGGTTACAAGGGGGACCCATTTTTCAATATAGTACACTTAAGATTTGTGCATTGTGATGTGTGTAAATTATACCCTGCAAAAAAAGAACTGTAAAACTCGTAATAATAATAATAAAGGGGGTCAGGCTGGGGAGCAGGTGAAAGTATAGTTAAACCAAGAAAAGCAGAATGTTGATAATGGTTGAAGTCATATGATGGAACTTGGGGATCCAGGGTAGAGGTGAGGGCAGGAAACACATTACCCCGGAAAAGGAAAGTGGGGGCATGGGCAGGGGCAGAATGACCCCAGAATAGGGCAGAGATGTTAAAGGGAAGTCTGTGAGGTGAGAGAGTCACCTGGCCCTTATGGGAAACACCATGTGCTGATTCTGAGGAAGAGGAGATCCTGAAAGAAAGAGAAGGTACTTCTTTGAGAAATTGGGATTTGGGGACAGAAGACGGAGATGGAGGAAGACGTGGAGATGGAGCTGGAGATGGAGACGGATATGAGAGATTAGGTGGAGGTGAAGATGAGAGGTAGAGAGGGAGATGGAGGTGGAGATGGAGATGGAGGTGGAGATGGAGGGAGACAGAGAGAGAGAGGAGAGAGAGAGAACAAGAATTTCACCATTTTCACCTTGTCTCTGGAAAGATACCATCCCTTGAAGGAAAACAGACTTTCAGGGAGCCAGGAGGCCCTGGGCAGAGCAAAGACTGGGTTTGGTTGGCCAAACAAGTGTGTACAGAAGGGACTGTCTCTTGATCTTGTTAGAGCTGGTCTCCTTATCTGTCGTGTGTTTGTAATTGGCCAGGTATTCGAAAACCCTGTCTGCAGATATCCACTGAGTGTTTGCCCTTTGACCTTGTGTTCCCCAGGTTGCTACACAGCACTCGGCTCACAGCTTTCCCCAACACTGCAGCAAACACACTCTGAGCAGCCCCCGTGTCTGCCCTCTGCTAGACGCGGAGCTGCAGACACAACTAAGAAGACGACGTCCCTCTCCAAAGAGGAGCTCCAGGCGTCCCCATTTGCCCGCTCAGTGGTGTCTCTGACAAACAAGGTAGAGTGATGTCTCAGATGAGAGGGGAGAGAACAGCAGGAACTTCTCTGGCTGTTTCTCACGCACTCATATATTCATCCGCCAACAGCTGGTTGGGTGGGGTGTGTGGACCATGGAAGCTGGCAAGCAACAGTGAGTGTCCAGGAGAATAAGGAGCAAACACTTTTCCCTCCGGTAGATTCTCGAGTATCTGAAATGCACCACTTAATGGGCAGCAGTTGCACGGCTGGGCCTGGGGCTTCCTCAGCTTTCTATGCGCTCCAGCAGGTAGCTCAGCGCCTGGCTGGGGCTTAGGACTTGCCAGACATTTGTGAAATGATTCATCAAATAGGGGAGCTGCGGCCGGAAGGTTCGGCAAGGCAGCGTCAGGTCGCCATTGCTGTTCCTCCCCGTCCAACTGTCAGGTATGCCCTGTGCTCTTAGAGCGGGGGTGGTCAGATGGGACTGGCTAATGAGGGGGCAGGAGAGGCAGCTGTGAGGACACCCTCTGACCTCTTCCCCATCCCCTTCCCCTCCCTCCGTGCTCTCTGATGGATGGACCCCTCACCAAGTCTGGTTGCCCTCCACTGGCTGGCCTTCCTGAAGTCTTCAAGGTTCCCCAAGCAGCAACTCCAAAGGAGAAGCAGCACTCAGTGCGTTCGGGGAGGGTCGGCGCTTTTCATACAGTAACAATAACTGTCATTTCTCGGACTCTTCTTATGGGCTGGGAACCAGGCTGAGTGCTTTACCTGCATTGCGTCCTTTAACCCTCCTCACAAGTCACTGAGGATGGGGCAATTATTACCTCATTTTGCAGGTGAGGAAACAGGATCAGAGAGGTTAAATGACTTGCCCGAAGTTACTCAGCAGATGAGTAGTGAACCAGATTAGAAAGGGGAGTTTTGGAGCCTGTCTGGCTCCAGACCCTGGGTTCGAGTCTATCCTGCTCCCCTTTGGGACGGTTTTGAGGTGTTGGTTTTTTTTTTTTTTTAAAACTGGAGGAACAGTGAATGGAGAGCATATTTGAAATGGGGGCACTGGCCATGCACAGAATTGCAGGGATGGCTGCTTTGGGTGAGGGGTTAGGCCGGCCCTGATGGGTGGAGCTGCTGAGGACGTGGGGGCTGAAGCCGGGGGCCTTGAGCTGCAGCCAGCAGAGCAGCAAGAGGCCTGTGACGTAGGCCATAAAGCCACTACCACCATCATCCCAATGGGGCACAAAATGCCTGGTACCTGCCACCTTCTTCACCTGCAGCATCTCTTTTAATAGCTCTACTACGATGGTACTCTTATTATCATTCCCATTTTACAGATGAGGAAATTGAGGCTCAGAGCTGCCTGACCCCAAATCCTGGTCTTTATACTGCACTCTGCTTGCTCAAGGATGGAGCCTGCCCTTCCCCTTCACTACTATGTTAATAGGTTGCCAGATTTAGCCAATAAAATGACAAGATGCCCAGTTAAATTTGCATTTCAGATAAGCAACAAATGGTTCTTCTTATAAGACTGTCCCAAATATTGCCCAGGACATCCTTATACCAAAATGTATTTGTTGTTTATGAGAAATTCAAAGGTAACTGGCATCCTTGTAATGTATCTGGCAACCCTGATATCATAAGAGGCCCCACTGTGCTTGGGTCTGGAGTTATCTGTCCCTTTCCAACCTTCTCCTCCCTGATAGGAGCTGGACTATTCTGGGAATTGCAAGGACCGAAAGCAGGAGAGAGCGGGCACATGTCTCACAGCCGGGAGGTGGGCCCAGAGGGAAGGGTTGTCTGGTGGGAGAATAGGGGCAGGTTGCAAAACACAAGTGATAGAAATAACACGATTCCTGAGGAAGACCCCAAGCGTGGGTTTGTATTTGGAATTCCTGAGATGTGGAGGGTCTTGCTCTCTCCCCACTGGAGTCCCCACAATGCCTCACCCAGCTGTCACTGCGAGTGGCTGCCCTCCCCCGAACAAGACATTCGGTTGGTGACCCCATCCCTCTGATAAGGTGAGTGGTGCCTAGTGCCTGAGCTGATAAAGCAGAGGCCAGAGTGTTTCTGAATCTTCTGCTGCTGTCCCCAGGGCACCTGTCTGTCACCTGCCCACAGTGCTTCTAGGAAGGGAAGTTCTCCAAAGGTCACACTCCACCTAGACAGTGCCACTCACCTCGCTCTTCACATCACGCAGCCGGCGCCCAGGCCCTGCCCGGTTGCAAAGTGGAAAGATAGCCAGGTGATAACGTCTGCTTTTACCTGGGGGTATGGTCCCCGTGGCACACATCTGCCCTACCCCGTTTTGTCCCTGTTTATATGTGCCAGCCTCGTTTCCCCTTTCCGACATGGAGCCTGCCCCAGCCCGCATGCTGCGACTTGTTTTCCTGACACCTGCCCTGGTTGCCTGCCACACCTGCAGCTGGGAGGGATGGACCCACAGATGCTGAGGTCTGATGTGGGATGCCCAGGAGGACGGTCTGGGTGTGAGGTCCCGCCCATGCACTCCAGGATCTGAGGGTGGCCTTGCACCTCGACATCTGGCTTTTTTGTTCCTGCCTCTGTCGAGGTTTGGGAGGGTGGTTCCTGCCCAGCCCTTTCCGCCAATGGCTGTGAAGGGTGAAGCCCAAATGCTGTCCGGCAGGGCGGAAGCAGCCACCTGCACACAGCTTCCCCTCCTCCAGGTGCAGAGCCGGGACAGCCCCTTCTTCCTGCCACAGTTCTCACAGGGCAGCCCCTCCAGCCTGCTGGCGGCTGGCTCACCCCCTGCCCTCCCAGGGCACAGCCCCCTCCCCTTTGCCAGCCGTGCACAGCTGCCTCCTAACTCCAGCTCACAGACCCAACACACACTCCGAAGCAAAGTTAAAACCAGCTCGTTCCTCTGGGGAAATGGAAGGAAGGGCAGAGGGACAGGTCCCCTCCTTACTTACTGTCCTCGACGTCCCTGGGGAAGATGGGGAACCTGGGGCTCACACACAGCTTGCACCAGGAGGAAGCCGGCAATGAGCTTCTGCTCAAGTTCTCATGGCAGCCTAAGGAAGCCTCCCTGGCCCCATCCAGGAGCCGCTGTGCAGCGAATCCCCGCCGCCGAGAACAGGCTCCAGCGGGGATGATGAGCTCACAGGATGTGGGCTAATGGGTTAACCCTTGGCGGGCCGCTGGCAGAGGTGCTTGTGATAGGGCTTTGGCTCAGCTCTGCTCAGCCTCTATTAGATGAATCTTGTGAAAAATTAATGAAGTTTCTCTGCAGTCTGTCTTCAAGTTTCGGGGAGATGTGCATGAGGCTGGTGTCTGGGCCAGGGCTGCTTCTCCTGACCCAGGCTCAGAAATCAGGAGGCCTGGAGTTCCGGGGATGCTGGAGTGTGTGATGGTGATGGCGGTAGTGACAGGCCAAAGAGTGGGTTACCCAGAGTCTACACTAGCTCTGACCAGTGCAGGCCTTGGCTATGAGACCTGGGAGCCCTGTTTGTTCTGGATGTTGGAGAAAGCATGTGCAGACTTACTTAACATCCTCGGTTCCAAGATGGCAGGGATACCTCTGGGGAATTCCCAAGCACTATGGGTAGACACCTTGTGTGACAAAATACCAGGAACCCACAGACAAAGGTCAGATGAGCACATAGGGTCCTACCCCACCCCAGGCCCAGACGTCTCTGGACTGGGGGCAAAGTAGCATGTTCACCCTTGCTTCTCCCGGCTTTCCTGACCGTGCCCCTGTATTTTTCATGTTACTTATCAGGGTGATAAGAAACGAGTGAGAAACATCACTGCAGTGGTGGGGCGGGGTTTCCATCTCTACTAACAGTCATCACATAGTGCCTTTGAAAGCTGGGTGTGAGGTGTTGAATTGCCCAGTCTCGAGATGTGGGTCTGTACCCTGAAGCCAACAAGATTGCCTAAAATCCTGAAAGCCAGGCTGACCCTCCATTCTTAACACCAACTCAAGGATGAGAAGCCTTGCTTCTGGCTGGTTGGGGGCTCCGGGGTGAAGGGGGGTCCCTGCTATGGTAACAGTACGTGGGGGGCCTGTAGGGGAGGCTCTGTGTCCTGTAGGGGAAGCGCTCCCAGGAGTGACCCCAGGAAGCAAAGACCAAGACAGGAGTGGGAATCTTCCATCCCTGGTAGCTTGTGAAATGAACATGATGTTTCCAGCCTGGGAAGGCTCTGCAGAGGTTGATGGGTGATAAAGGGCTAGAGAAGCAGAGGGCCCCGAGGGCCAGCCATCCACTGAGCTGCTGGAGGGGGTCGAGCTGAGGGGGCTTTTCCTCTGGCTTCCTGTGGAAGCTAAGCCTTCTCTGCTCAGGGGATGAGTGTCCAGGGGAGCTGGACTTGAAGGCTTTTGAGGATGTTGCTTGCTCTGCTTTCATACTCAAATCGGTTTGTCAAACTAAGTGGCCTGGCTTGTGCAGAAACCCGGGGGTGAATTATTTTGCAATGCAAATAATCAGATCATTTATTCTTCCCTCAGTTCAGGTTTCTGTGCTTTCCCCCAACCCTCTGCAGGGCGTGGCAGGCAGTGTAGTAACAGCCATCAGTAAGACAAATCCGTATTTAGCATTCCTCCATGTCAGGCACCAGTCTAAAGTACTTTATAAATGTACAGTAATTCATGTATTCCCCCACATACTCCTGCCAGTTAGGGATGTGAGCTATATTATTATTCTTATATTTGGCTTTGCACAAATTACTTAACTTCCCCGAGCCTTAATTTTTTTCATTTAAGTGGATGTGATCATTGCTACCTTAGAGAGTTTTTGTAAGAACTGTGTAAGAAAATGCACATAGCAAGTGCTTAATGAATATATGTACATATTGATATATTCTGTATGATACATATTCACACATTATATAATCATATAATACATGATATATGATTAATATGTTACATATATATTAGATATAATGTATATATTATATATAGTGTATGTATGCATATGATATAAGTGTATATATCTACCTATGCAAATTAGGGGAGATCTGGGTCCAGGAGAAAGTGTCCAGGTATGCTGTCTGCAGGCCCCTCCCCAGCAGGATAGAGGAGGGGGCTTGAGAAGCCAGCTTGGACCCTGGACAGTCGACACCAAGTGTCCCCGGGGGGCAGGGCTGCTGCTGCAGTTGTGGTGTCGAGGGGGCAGAAAGCAGGCACAGGCCCTGCCTGGGGGATGGCTGGCAGCACCCCCCTTCCCCATCCTCTAGCTCACAGCTGCTCCGGCTAAGCTCTGCCCACCTCACCTGGCTAGCCTAGTGGTCCACACACCCATGGTGCACAGGGTGACCAACGATCTATCACCCCTGGTACGACGGGGTGACCAGTGCTCTTTTTTTTTTTTTTCATTTGTCACCCTTCTACATTTCTTAAAAAGTATTTTAAAGGAAACCTCAGACATCTCTTCTTTAGTGACTCCTTGCCACTGGAGATGTGTATCTCTGTAACAGATAAGGACCCTCTTCCTTCCTTTCTTCCTCTTATTTTAAACAATAACCACAATGCCATCATAATCTCACTTGAAATGTAAACGTTCCTTAATGTTAATACCATTCACTCGCATTTCCCTGATTGTCTCAGAAACGTCTTTTTATGGTCAGGTCTCCATAAAGCAGGGTCCTGACAAGTGCCGGCCCTACGCGCTGTGACTCCCAAGCTCCCTCTCATCCATAGCAGTCACTCCCGCCTCTGTTCACACCATTTAGTTACTGAAGATTCCAGGTCGTGTGAGTTGGAGAACCCACATTCCGGACCTGGTTGGCTGCTTCAGACAACTGAAGACTTCCTGTAAGAGAAATGGAAATTGGAAATTGCGTTAAAGAGCAGATCTTAAATGGTGTCATTTAACATTTTCCTCTTTTCTGCAAGGGCTGGGTCTTGACTTCTGCTGCAGCCGGTGATCCTAGGACAGGGCCTTGGCAAAGAGGTGCCAGTCAATGTGGAATAAATGGCCAAGTGAACATCCACAAGGCATCTTACAATGATGCCTTTTGCCTCGTGCTGTTGGGTCCTCCGAGTAGACCCGTGACACAGGCAGGGCTGCATTTTGTGTATGCTTCTCAGTTGTACTGCTGGGACAGGCCACCAAGACGGGAGAAGCCTTTTAGCTTTCCAGGGCCTGGGGAAATCATGCCAAGCACTTGCTTAGATCAGGCAGCCCCAGGGAGAAGCCACCACCTTCCACCTGCTCCCCCGCCCCCTATGTTAACCTCTGCCTTCCTTCTTTTCCCATCGGGGGTGCCCTGGCCAAGAAAATAGGACTCTGGCCCTAAATCTCTCCCGGTCTGACCCCTT